TTTTTTGCGTATGTATCACCATCATCCCATAATCGTACCGTGATGGCTCTGCAAAAAACCTCAGAAGTCTAGAAGAGTTAATGAAAGTTAGAGCAAAGCGTTAATCGTTAATTGTTAGCAGGCAAAACGCAGATGATGGCAGAAGTTTTTTATTATAAGAGATATTATTAAGTCATCTTTAAATCGTGCCAAAAACTTCCTAAAGGAAATTTCGTCTTCATGCGAGATCAGAATTTTTCACATCATGTCCATCATGGAAAGAGCTGCTCACAGAGAAAACTTTATATCAAAATCATGAGAAATCTTAAGATCTATGAAAATATGACTGACAAAATTAAGAAAAGAAGTAAATGATACGATAGAAATTTCTATAATTACGATATCTTCTATACGATCCATAATTCTCTTTATCACGGTTACATTAATTTTGCTGCAACAATTTCGTTCCCGATCTGCAATAATCAAGAATTTATTTTACGAAATCAATTTGCAACAAAAGAAAAGAAAAATGGCATGTGCACAGGGAAAAGTTATGCGTGCATCGCGACGGAGTTGCGAGTCGCTACGCTAAACGCAACAAAAATAGGCGAAAAGAAAGAAACGAAAATATATTAAAATAAATAAAAAATGCTTACCGTGAGTAGGGGTTGAAAGGTGGGGTGTGTAACAGGCGCGTGCACAAACCAAACAACTCGAAATGAAAATTGGGCAGATTTTTGGATACCCTGAGTAGCAGGATAGTTTATCTTTTTTTTCTTTTTTTAAATCTCTTTCGGGAATTTTCAGGTAATTTGTCCGGGAAGGAGCGGAAGTAGGAAAGGAGAAAGGATTGAGGGAGAAAGAGGATGCTACGCCGCGCTGCCTCCCTCAAGCTCAAGGCTGCAACACAATTCAACACGCACGCAAACTTTTAATTCGAAAGAAAGAACTGTAAAAGTCAATTTTTTTGCAAAGTTGTATCAGAAATAAATATATACCGGATGTTCCGGGAGTATATCGCATCTGTTTTTGACAAATTCTTCTACAAATTCACAAATTGATCATTCTTCAGTTGCAAGAGTCGACACGCGCAATCAACAACAAGAGAGAATCCGCTGGCTAAAAGCCAAAGACGCCATAATTCCGGGACATCTTATACAATCGTTAACATCCAACGACAGGCCAATTCACAAAACGCTTCGGTCCAAAACTCACTGACTGTGAATATGTTAAGTGCATAAAGTTAAAAAAAAATCGCTCATAAAACGCGATTAAACCTGGTTACCAAGACGACAAACTAGATAACCAAACCAGAGATCAGTATCTTTATTAGTCAGGAATCTCATGCCATGTTTAAAAAGTACGCGATTTCGCTGTTACGCTAGCATTCTTAATGATTATGTCATCCTATCATTCCTATCACAATATTAAACATCTTAACTATTATGTCTAATCTAGGAAAAGCATACAGCGAATAGCAATTAGCAAATCTTGATTCTCACCTGGGTTCTAACTGCCGCATGACTTTGCCGAACCATTGACAGCCTGAGTTTGTTAGGGTGGAATTTGTCTCGTTATTCTGTAGAACGTCGTATTTACGAATAAAGGCATGTTCCATGAGCTTGTGATACTTTGGCCGGTGCTTATAGTTCTTTGTGAGGCAGCAACTGACGAAACTCCTGAACTCCTTAGAAAAAAGTGTATCCGCCGGAAGAGACGGAGGATCGTCTTGTACTACTCTGCTCAGTACCTACAATGAGTAGAATAATAAAATAATAAGTATGAGACAACGCGTATCTGAATAGATCATATTGGAAGAAATCATTCAAGTTTTTTTTTTTCAAGAAATACAAAGAAAGTTAAAAAGAGATGGGAAGCTGGAGATGAAGAGAGAGAGAGACTGAAAACTATTAAAAATAAAATTTTGTACTAAATTAAAAACAAAAAAGTTGATTTCTAATATACAAAATAGTTTGTTTCATTACATAATACATTATGCATGTTTAGTACTGCTCATAATAGAAATAAAAAATCTAATTTTCAACGGAAATTTTACCTCAAAATCAGTCTTGCAGTCTCGATAAGGAAACACTCCTGTAGCTAATTCCACTAGAGTAATGCCCAAACTCCATACATCTGCCCTTATGTCATAATCTGGTTTAGTAGGATCTGGTGGATCTATCCTTTCAGGCTGTATAAAGAACGATAAAAAATGTATAATTATTCTATTATTTAGAAAAGTCGAACATCCTCCTATATATTGCAATATACATTTACTTACAGCCATATATGCCGCACATCCCGCACTTCTCGTTTTCGCTTTGCTATCGACCAGTCTGCCAGAGATCCCGAAATCGCAAAGTTTCACTCCTCCCGCATCATCAAGTAATATATTACTAGGTTTCACATCTCTATGTATTACGCCATGCTTCTCTTTCAGGTACGACAACGCTTTTACTGTCTACAGAGAAAAAAAAATGTAAAATTGTCTTTTCAACAATCTCGAAATTATAAAAATAATTTAAGATAATACATTTCAAATTTTAAAGAAAAAAATCGATGCAATGTATTTTAACTTAAAAAATATGATAAAATTATCTTTTTTCGGGATATGTATCTTTTTCTTCTCTATAATTTTTCTAAGATTTTTGAAGATAGCAATTATGGAACCCAGGGTACAAAATATCTTATAGATAAAAGGGTAAAGAAACTTACTGCTACTGTAACTTTTCCTAAAAAATTTTCTGGTATTGCCTGCCTGCTACGCTTCAACAATTTGTCTAAGCATGTTGCCATCAGTTCCATGCAAATCCAAACGTCAGATTCGGTGATGAAACAACCCAAGCACTGCACAATGTAAGGACAGTCATGCGACTTGAGCACAACGTCGAGATCCATGATTATTCTCTTGTTCTCTTCCGCATTCCCAGAGCGTCGCATCTGCTTCACAGCGATTATCACGCCGCTCGGCTTATGCCTCATCTTAACAACGTGTCCACAGGTGCCATTACCCAGTTCACCCAAATGCTCCAAATCTTTCATATCGGTTTGATACCTTTGGCCATTGATATTCAGGATGCCATTCATCTTCATTATTTCTTGCAGTTTTAACTCGACTTCACTATCATGCATCTTTGGCGGTGTTATCTGCGATACAGGCAAATCTAGCTGTCTTCTGAGTCGTGTCGGAGTACCCATATCTCCAACAACTAAGAAATACATAATATTTTAATATATTGTTAATTATTCTTTTCATTCCTTATGCTATTTTCTCATAATTAAATATAACTTTTTTTTATATAAAGAGATTATCTCTTTCCTTTGTTTTCAATATAACTTCCTTATAATTCAGAATATATGTATAAATAAATCTACATTTGTTTTAATAATCAGAAATAATCTTAAAATATCAATATTGAAAAATATTTCTGTTATTTCTCTAAAAAATTTAACATCAAATTCTTACAGATTTAGTTAATAAATTCATATAATATTGAATAGCTTTTTTGAGATACATTTTTATATAACATTGAGTTTATTAATCTTATATTTTTAATTATGTTAACATGTTCTATATTTAATTATATATGGTACTGATCTATATTGTAACACTATATATTATATATTTAACACTGAGCACTATAAACATTATATCTTTTCCTAGAAGTTATCATAATATTTATTGCACACTGTGCAACTTTCAGCATTGTTTTAATTTTTGATTCAGGATGAGAATTTAATTACAATAATAAATGATTTACAATCTAAATATGATTTAGCAAAAATATCCATTTCTACTAATACAGATTAAATCAATTGGTTAAATATAGTATATATTAAAATCATTATATACTGATGTAATCTCAGTTTAATTTATGATAAATCCAGAAACTTATACTACACTGGATTAGTACATACTATTAAAATCTGCTTTATATCAAATATCTAAATGCAGTGGTATAGTACTTATGTACAATCAAATTTGACATTGAAATAATACATTTATATTTTACTAGATAACGCAACAATGTTATTATTGGATTATGTAATCATTAAAAATATTTATATGCTTTTATATTTAACTTTGTTAATCTCATGTATATAGATAACTTTTATTATGCATTAATCTAGTGCAAGCAATCGAATTCGTTATTGCTTTGTAGCTTTGTACTGAAAAAGGATAAAGTCTAAATTAAACCAAAATATATTACAGTTAATCTACATTGGTAAATATAAATATAAATTAAACAGCAAGCGAGTCACACTCGCAGAATCAACAGCAAAGTTCAATCAACAGCCCGACGGTCAACATAACCTGTACACGCGCGCGAAATCATGGTAAACGCATTATAAAGAAGATAGATCGTATCGATCCAGGAAGCGGAGGATCCAGAATGGATTCTCGAAGAGGTTTGCGCGTATTTAGAGCAAATTGCTTACGTTGCCGTGGTCTGCGGGGCGCGGGGCTGGATACGGATCCTGCCGCCGCTGACGACGACGACGACGACGACGAAGAGTGCAAACCGATGCCCGGGCCGCCAACGTCGCCACTAACTTGTCTGTCCCGGTCCCGTGACTCGTTCTCCGCCCGCAACCGCTCCTCCAGGTTCATGATCTTCTTCTCCAGGGTGCTCGACATCGCGCTCGCACGCTGTGACTTCTCGGCGCTGCCTAACGCGGCTACGTGTTTGTTTTGGTTTCTTTTTCTTTTTATTTATTTATTTTTTTTTTACGTACACCGAACTCCAGGCACTCCACCACCAACGTCAGGCCAGGCTCACCGGGTTCGCCACATCGCCGTCATGCGCCTGATATTTATCAATTTTCGCATCACTCTTTTACTACTCTCTTTTACGCGCTGCCCCTTTTTGGCAGCAGAGGGTACAAACTCCCCTCCTGAGAAAAGGGGGGACGATTCTCAGCGCCGCCTGGACTTTCCGGAAGTAGCGAACTAAATCAACTAAAATGCCGCCGGTGCCGATCACATCTGTGCATGACAAGCAATGGCGAGCATCTCTATATCGATTTGTGTACAACGGTCTTAAAATTGATGCACTAGGTGTTCGTGGATGTTCGTTGGAGTTCGTTTAAAATAGTTTAAAAGTTATCAAAAATTATTCCGTCATATATCGTACGTAAGTAAATACGACGTAAATATAACGAGAAATGATTCTTTGCTATAACAAATTACCCGATAGATGATGACTACGGTTAATGTATCTGAAAGTACCATCCATAAACGCAGATCGTCAATTTTCCACTCGCGGATTTCGATAGCCCGCGATCATCAACAAGGTTAGGTTCACGAAGTAACGAGTGCGGTCTACTTGGCGCTACAAATGCTTCGAAGCTTTTGACTGACCAATCAGAAGAAAGAATTATATTAATTATCCAATCAAAAAATGCTTCGAAGCATTCGTAGCATCAAATGGACCGCAGCCGTAATAGTAAATAAAGTTTTCGTGTTAAAATATTTAATTTAAAAATATAATAATTGAAGATCAGAATAGGCCTATTCATTAACGATATTATTTTCATAAATATAATTATTTCTTATAAAAATAATTTTATTTTAATGTTAATCTCTATATTAAAAATTCTATTAAGAGAAAAAGACTCTAATAACTATAGTTATGTCTTCTAGATAAATATATTTTATATTTATTAATTCCATATAAAATATGAAATTATATATATCATAATGGCAAACAAAATGTATCTTCTAGATGACAATGAAGTTACAATTAATGGAAACAGACCAGACCAAAAGGAAGAAGAATGCAATGTAAAGAACGTTAAAGCTTTTAATCTAAAAGAATATACAGACAAACTCAAACAGGAACGAAAGGACTGGCAACAGGAGTATAGAAATCGTAAGGTTCAACGAAGAAACTTGACGAAGCAAAAACTACGCACAGAGGGACAGGGACAGATTCTCGATATAAATGTACTGACAGAGGCCGAGAGAGCTTTTGTCTTGACACGTCCCAATTATGAACACATCTGCAAAAATAGCCAGAAATTATTGAACATGGCGTTAAAAATATCTATGCTTAGTCAACATGTACATAAACTGAATCAGAGATTCATGGAAAGAATGGAAGGCAACATATCAAAGGCCACTGTAAATATTATTAAGATCTCAGAACAATAAAGCAGATGAGTAGTTTTAGGAATAATTTATTCTTTTAATTCTACAAATTTACAAGCAATAGGAGTATCACAATAAAAATATAAATAACACTTAAATTAATTAATATAAAAAATAATAAGGCTCAATATGTATAAAACAATATAAAAATATAAATAGGCCGTAGAGCCAAATTAATTTAATGAATTATTTTAATTCATATATTAATACAAATTTAGACGTTTCGACTCCGATCAGGTCATTTTCAATGATAGAATTATTTTCCTTAAAATTAAATTAACATTATTTTTATACAATTTTCATATTGTTGAAAATCACGGATTCAGTGCATTAAATTTGAACATTTATATTTGTATGTGTTTTATCTTTGATCCTGATAAAAAGTATAAAAATTAACATTGTTCAAAAATTCAAATATTAAATGTCTTATTAACCCTGTCAAAAATATTAAAATCTAATACAAATATAAAAGTCATATATACCTTGTCAAAAATAAAATAAAAATTTGTTATTTGTCCATGTGTAAATATCCTCTGCGTCAATTTATTATAAAATATATTTGGAGTAATAAAATAAGATAATTTGCATCTGTCAAAATTGAACATGTATCATTGCAAAAGTAAATAGGATAATGTCGTTGGAATAGAAAATCAAAGGATAAGGGTCTGCGCACAATAGGAGAAATATTAGAAACAGATATTAAATATAAGAATTTTAACCTATCAGAACTGTGTACTGTGGAATGTGCGCTTTCTGACAGGTTAAAATTCTTATATTTAATATCTGTTCCTAATATTTCTCCTGTTGTGCGTAGACCCTAAACCTAATAAAAATAACAAGGAAAGACACACAAGATTATGTCATCCAGCGTTCCAGCAGAACAATTTAATAGAAGCTATATTAATATATTTTTACAAAACGGATATCTTCTATACTTCATTTTTTCTACGATTCACAATAGAATTAAATTCCATATTAATAATATTTCTAATAAGAACAATACTTCAAAAAAATTTTTTACAGTTCCTTATATTAACACTGTGTCTGAAAAATTCAAACCTATCGCCAATATGTTCCAGTGTAAGTTAGCATATACTATTCCGAACACACTAAATAGCTACATTAAAAGAGGAAAAGATAATTTAGAATATAAACACAATCAAAATGTAGTATATAAGATATCCTGTGACAATTGTGATGCTAGTTATGTTGGACAAACTAAGAGACAATTAAAAACTAGATTAAAAGAACATGTTTCAGATATTAATAAAGCATCAAAATCCCCTTCTGTAATAACCGAACATAGATTAAAATTAAATCATAATTTTAAATG